GTAGGTAATTTAGCCTGAGCTTTGCAGTCTGGCAGCTGGCTTCCACATGAACATACATGTGCTTCATAAGATTCCGCTTGGTCAAAATAAGTCACATGGCCAAGATTCAAGTTAATTTGTTAAGGGGCTATGCATGGCATGAATGAATGCAGTTGTGGTTCATTGATTATTTATAGAAACTTTTCCTCCAATTTGTTGCTTTATTTTCTAATCCTCCATAGCCTCCCAGTTGGGTTGGTCTGTAAGTGCCCTTGAACCAGGTTCCATTGCTTCCATTTAAACTCATACCAAGCCCAAGAACAACGGCTCCAAACACTGCTGGGTCCTGTACTGCCCTCACATCTTTATCACATTTGGGACCATTGTTATAGCCACTGGGTCAATCCATCATGTTGAAGGACTCCCACCTTTTCAGTGACCTTTTACAGAACCTGCTGGTGTAGTGGGCGAGGCGTGGGTTGCTACCTGCAGTGTTGGTCATTCAGATCCACCAGGTACTTCTTGGGAGAAAGATGAGTTTATCTGTTTGGGTAAAGATAGACAGTCTAAAAAAGATCCAAGGGAGGCAGTTTTACTTTGTCCTATAGGGCCAATATGTGGTACAATTGACTACATGACACCTGGTATGGGTTTTGATTTAACTTTACTAAGCATAATGTCCTTCTCCAGGGACTGGGCCCTCCTGATAACATTCCAAAAATACATGAGACAAAGTGTTACCATGCTTGATTCTAAGAAACATTCTGGCTGTACTTTATCCAAGACAGTTATGTTTGTTCTTCTGGCAGTCAATGGTATATTCAATCATGTTCGCCAGCACCATAATTTAAAGGCATACATTCTTTGTTGGTCTTCTTTATTTATTATTTAACTTCTGCATGTATCTGAGGTGATTGAAAATATCATGGCTTGGGCCATGTATAACTTACTCTTTAAAGTGACATCTTTGCCCTATAACACTTTGAAGACATCTTTGGTAGCAGATTTGCCCAATTTCTTAACCACTGACTAGGTTTATACCATGTTTGTTTTAAACACTTTAAGTGCTTTCTCATGGCAAATAGTAACTTGAACAAAGATATAGTATCTATTCCCCTTGAAGTATGTCATATCAAAATATAACCAAATAAGTGAAAGGTAAAAATGTCATCACACTTCTGAAACTTGCTGTCAATATTTCGCACCTGTGTGGGAAGCTGATAGCTGTCTAAGCAGCAGCTTGCTAACTTTCTAAACTGTAATCCCTAATTAACTCACCTTTTGAAGGATCAGTGAGATGCCATTGCAACCCAGGCAACCTATTGGCAGGGAGCCGGAAAACAAAATGCATGTTTAAATGCCAAGTAGAGGGAGAAACACTATATTATTTGACATAACTACCATCATCCACCTGTGCAGAAGGAAGATGCTATTCCATTTGGCTTGTTATAGATGATCTATTAGCTATGTCCCAATAAATTATGCAGTAAAACTCTAAGCCCAAGGAATAATTCTAAAGCTATAGGTGAAATGCCCAACCAGTAGGAAGAACTCATTAAAGTACATTTAAAAATTGACAATATCCAAATGTTCTAAGGATTCAGTAGATGAAATAATATATGGAATTTGTACAGAGAACCCTACAGATCAGACAGTTTATATCATCAGGCAATAACAGAATTGGATAAAATTGGGCCTTAAAACAGAGAAAACCCAAGTCATAGAAGAACTGAATTATGCAAGCCTTTGAGAATTTTGTCTGTCTCTTTGTAACTGAATTAGGAGACTTCGCTATAAATACAGAATGAGACATTGGTGGCCATTAACGTTTTATGAGACTGATTATTTTGAACAGCTTGGAATGTTAAAATCATTCACTGGAGAGCGTGAACATCATGTAAGTCCTATGTTGGTGTTAAGAGTCGGCTCCGACTCCTAGCAACGCTAGTACGGCGGACAGAAACCCTGCCCAGCCCTGCGCTATCCCGCAGTTATCGCTACCTTGGAGCCCATTGTGGGCACCACAGTGCCAATCTATTCCCCGTGTTCTTGACTCTTTTCTGAATAGCATGTGCTTTTGGAGGGACTGGTTCCTCCTGGTATAAGTTCCTTCATCATATGTTTGTAAGTAACAGAAGGGCTGTTTTTCTTTTAATGCCCATAGTTACTCTTATATTAATTAATCCATTAAAAGACATCTAAGGACATTTGCTGTTTCAGGAGGCTACGGGTGGCACAGACGTTTTGCACTTCATGACCAACAGAAAAAGGTTGGTGGTCTCACGTCACCCAGAGGCACCTCAGAAGGCAGTCCTGACATCTGCTTCAGAACACGCAGGCTTGCAAACGTCCTGAGACGCAGTTCTACTCGGCAAGCCGGGCCACAGGGAGCTGCAAGGGGATGGACTGCAACGAGCTGTTTTCCTTTTCTGTTTAAATTGAGCCAGTGAGTGTGGGAGAGCCAGTGGTTATGCGCTAGTAGTAAAACATTGTACTTAGTGTATATGAACAGGGTCAGGATGTGCAAAATATTAAAAAAAAACAAACTGTTGGGTGGATTATGACTCATAGCCATGATAAAGGACAAACTAAAATTGCCCAGTAGGGCTTCCTGGGCTCTCATGTTTAAAGGAACAGATCAGCAGGTCTTTTTAGCAAGACATTTTAAACAAGTTATTTTGATAAAAATATGGTGCAATGTGATAACGCTTTACAAAAATGACCCAAACTAAAATGATCTTTTCCACTCTTCCATTTTAAGGTTGTTATTGTTGTTGTTAATATTTTTGCTGTATCCTAACTTCAAGAAAGGAAGAAAAAAAATCCACTTTTACCCTGATATTCAAAGACAAAACTTACTGAATTTGCAAAGGGAGATCATTATGAAATATCTTCGTGTGACATGAGCCTACTTGGTAGGCTTTCAAAATTAAAAGCTCAAAGGATTTGCGTTTGATTTTGTTTTTCTCTGACCCCTCCAGGTTCTAGCATGAGCTCATCAACACGTATGATCTCTGTCCTGGGAGATTCGGTCCCTGATCAATTAAATACACTGATAAATACTTTGAATTCATTTTGTCACATCGGGATGTCTCATTTTGTCTTGCGAGAGTCTTAAAAAAAGTCTCTCTCAGACCCTTGGTGTGGGCCTAACACATTTCATGTAGCCGGCGATTCATCATTTTCTTCTACAGGTACCAGCCAGAATGGGCCGCTTTCATAGGAAAGATGGTGACACACGAAGTGTCTGGACTCACAGGCTCCATTGGAGAAGGTGGCATCATGGAACTGATATTTCAGCAGAGGACATTAGTTTTGTCTATATTCCTCTGAAAGTTGAAATATTATAATTCAGTGAGTTTTCTTCTCTTTCAGGAGAGGAGGAACCGACTTTTCGCCCAAAGGCGCATTCCGTTCTGAATCTTGTGCCTTTAACTGGCATTATACCCATGTTATGGTTTTCTGAACCAAAGGCTTTCTCTTTTCTGCTAACCTCTTGAGGTCACAGTGGTGGTTTGAAGTCTAAGCAGCAATTCTGTTCAAAGAGTAACTCACAGCAGGGTGTGTTCAGTAAGGGCATTCGTGATTCTAGTCTTCACATAGGTTCCATTTTATTTTTTAGAAAATTGGGTCCTGAGGCTACTACAAAGGCGACACCCTTAAAGCACGTCATTTTCTATATCTCCCTGTGCCAAAGCTTCACAAAATGGCTTTGCAGATATATCCCTAGAATTCTTCTCGCACAAACACCATTTCAAAAATGCCCAGTGACACCTTGATTCCTCATCTGCTCTTCCACTCACCCTTGACCAGAAGTTCAAGGTTCATTATCTGGAGGGCGGTGGAAGATAATGTGCCCTCAAGGATTTTCCCTTCACTTGGGTTCTTTCCTGTGGGGTCCGGAGAGTGAAATATGTATTGTATGTTATAGAGTGGAGGGAAGAGCATGCAGTTTGGATCCAAACTGCCTGGATTTTAATCCTGTCTCTACCACTTATTAGCTATGCAAATTAGGAAAGTTCTTGAAGCTCTTTGTACCTTTATAAGAATGGTGTCCTTGGGGCATCTGACCTCCTTGTCCTTCACAAAGAGCAATGAGAATCAAACTCAACCACAGCCCAAGGCTAATTCCTATGAGGCTGAGGTCACACGGGCCCCCTTTCAAACCTTCTTTACCAACTCTGATACCAACAATCCCTCCCGCAGTACCCTCGCTTCTCTGGGGACGGCGGTTCTTCCTTGCTGTGGCCACATAGAGCTCACAGACAATACGCACAAGTATGGGGTTTAGTAGGGAAGCTGAGGCCGCTCTGACCCACAGCGACCCTAGGTACCTTAGAGTGAGACTCTCTCAATCCCCACCCATCCTTCCATTTGATGTTAAGCTTGAACCCATTGTTGCAGCAACCATGTTGATCTCTCTCCTCCAGGGGCTTCCTCTTTTTATTGTCCCAAACACGATGTCCTCTTCCAGGAATTCCTCTTTCCTGATAATATGTCAAAAGTACCTAAGATAAAGTCTTCCCATGCCTGTTTCTTTTTTTTTTTTTTTTTAGAACAACAAAATGAATATGTTTAATGGTGGAAGGACATCGAATCAATGGAAATGCCTGCATTTACAGAAAGAAAAATTAGAAGGTGGCTCTTACATC